TCCTCAAAACTCTCTCCGCAATTATTGCAGGTCAAGCCATCCCCTAATTCTTTGCCCTGTATGCGCGTGACCCGCAAATGCACACGGATGTGGTTCCGGAGTGCCATGAGGTTGCAGTATTGCTTGGGGCAGATGGAGCACTGGAAGATTCCCGTCTGGTGAGTGTGGCGATGGTTCACCAGACTGCCACGGTGGCGATAACTCCGCCCACAGTCTTCACACCGATAGGGTCGCTCTTCCTCCCAGAGAATCCTTTCTTCCTCTTCCTTGGGACAGGTGACTGGTCCTCTCCAGGCATCCGAGGCCTGGGTTGGGCAGTTGTCAGGGCAATCCTGTGCTTTTGGTGGATCCAGGATCCCAGATGGGTGCTGGGAGGCCTCTTCTGGGGCCGAGGAGATGAGCTTGGACCTGAGGTGGACCCGCAAGTGGTTCTTCAAGGCAGCCAAATTATACAACTGTTTTGAACAGATGGTACAACTGTACACTCCAATCTGGTGACTCTTCCGGTGGTTGATGAGGCTCCCCGCGTGGCGGTATGTCCTCCCACAGTCCCCGCAGTGGAAAGGACGCTCTCCAGACATGGGAAAACCTCCCTTGCTCTTCAGATGGGCTTCCCAAGCTTCATTGGAGCTGGGGGCTGCTTGGAAAGGGCTGCTGCCCTCATCCTCTTCTTCTTCATCTGCCTCCTTTGGGTAAAGGCAACTGTGTTCCTTCAACTCCTCCTCGTCGGCGAAGGTCCCACCACAGCGGACACACAGCTCTCCATCTGGATTACAGCGTTCTCCACCACCGGCCTTGGCGGTATCTTTGAGGCTGCAGGGCGCCCTGTCTCCGAAGCCTGTGCCCACGTGAGGCAGCTGATAGATGTCCAACTTTGCTGATGTTTCTATGGAGTCCTCCTCCCAAACATCGTGCTCTGAATCCTCCCAAGCTGATGGGTCTGCGGACTTGCTCTCTTCCTGGCTGTGGGCTTTCTGGTGGCTCAGCAGTTCGGAGGGCAACCGGAAGGCTTTGTGGCAAAAGCGGCACTTGTAGGGCCGATACTCCGAGTGGAGACGGGCGTGGCTTCTGAGGGCCATGAGGTTGGAGAACTCCTTGTAGCACATGGCACACTGATAGATCCCCAGCGTGTGGCTCTGCTTGTGATTGGTCAAGCTGCCAGCATGTTTGTAAGCCTTGTCACACTGGTTGCATTTGTAGCGGCGCTCGTCCTCCAGGGCAGCCAGCAGTCCAGGCTCCTCCCCACCCCCGTCATGCTCCGGGAGCGGATCCTGATTCTCCTGTTCATTCTGGATTGGAAACTCTTGCTGAGAAAAGTTGGCTGGCACCACCGACTCAGCAATGTACTTCTCCAGGTTGGACAACAGGCTCCTGCTACTGCCTTCCATCCCAGAATGGGAGTCCACATCTGGAGAAGACGTGCCCTGGCCCCTTTGGAAGCTGTAACTCCCATCCCTCCTGCCTTTTTCCTCCTGCTCCTGGATGGCCTGAGCTGGGCAGTGGTGGCTTGGAAGCTGGGATGAAACTTGGAAGCTTCTGCTGCAGTCTGGGCATTTGTGATGCTTCTCTTCCGTATGAGTGCGCAGGTGACTCTTCAGGGACATGGGGTTGGAGAAGTCTTTGTAGCATAGCAGGCAGCGGAAAAGGCCTACCTCATGGGTATGGCGGTGATTCACCAGGCTGCCAGCGTGGCGGTAGCTCCGCGGGCACTGCTTGCATTTGTACGGCCGCTCCTCTTGACCCACAGGCGGCTCACTGCTCAGAGCAGCATCGCCTTCAGCCATTGCTCACGTCCAAAGTCCTTCTTAATCCTGGCACTCTTTAAAGAGGAAGCCACGGGCATTTGGAAGCACCCCTCGGTCTCATTGCAGAGCTTCGGGTCCCCTCTTCTCACCCAACCATTCCAAGACCTGCAGAGACAAAGAGGGGCAGTAATGAGGAGGAATCCCCTGGAGTGAGCATCGCTGGAACCAAGAAATAAGTTAAACGCCACAAATCACATCTTTGCATAGAGCAAAGTGTTTCTCGACTTTGGCAGATTTAAGGCATGTGGGGTTCAACTCCCAGAACTCCCCAGTCGGCACATTGGCTAGGGAATGCTGGGAACTGAAATCCACAAAACTTAAAAGAGTTGCTAAGGTTGAGAAACACTGGGGCAGAGTCGAGACTGAGTTGGTTTTCGATTTCCTGTACAGAATTTCAGTTCATGTTTCATGTCAAACACCCCCCAAAAAGGATGGGCGACCTATGGTATACAAGTAATCCTCGACTTATGACCACAATTGAGCTCAGAATTTATGTTGCTAAGTGAAAATTTTTGTTAAGTGAATTTCACCCCATTTTACCACTTTTCTTGCCACATTTGTTAAGCAAATCACTGCAGTTCTAAAATCAGTAACATAGTTGTTATGTAAATCTGGTTTCTGCATGGACTTCGCATGTCAGAAAGTCACAAAAGGGGATCACATGACCCCATCATACTGCAACTGTCATAAATATGAACCAGTTGTCAAGCATCCAAATTTAAATCACGTGCAATGATCATAATTGTGAAAAATGGTCATCATCAGTGGTAGTATTTCAGCCGGTTTGGACTGGTTCAGCCGAACCGGTAGCAGAAATTTTTGGTAGTTCAAAGAATACCACCCATCTGGTTGACCCCGGCCTCCCACCCCCATCGTTCCGTCTTATGTTCCCTTGTTTTTTTAGCTCGGCTGATTTGAGCGGCAGAAAGGACTGCTGTGCCTCAGCTGCGTTAAAAAAACAGCTCAGCTCAGCAGCGCTGACACCGAGGGCGGACTTGAGTGCTGCAAGCAGTCGCGAAGCACTCTCTCACAGAACTGGCAGGAAATGATTTGGAATCCCACCACAGGTCATAAGTTGCTTTTTCAGTGGCATTATAATTTTGAATGGTCACTAAATGAACTGTTTAAGTCGAAGACTACCTGTAATAGGTAACATACAAACTGGTAATCAGAGAGGAAGTGAAAAAACCTGGATATCTTATCAGTATCTTACAGTATTTAACAGAGATGGGAAGCCTTTTTCCATAAGGGATGCCTAATTTTCTAAGGGGAATTGGCAGCAGGTGGACTGGGTAAGAATCAAACTGCTTTCACTATAGGCCATCACTATATGCCACAGTTCATTTAGTGAGCATTCTGTCACTCTTAATTTAGTAATAATTTAATTGATAGAGAGAGATTAAGGCTTCCTAGAGCAGTGTTTCTCAATCTTGCCCACTTTAAGATGTGTGGACTTTAATTTCCAGAATTCCTGAGTGAGAAAGTTGGTTGTGGAACTCTGGGAGTTGAAATCCACACGGTTGAAAAACACTGCTTTAGAGCTTGATGATGTAATTGTAGAATTCCCCCCCCCCCAACTCCTTTTGTTGTTCCACTTATTTCATATTTTTAAATTCTTTCTTACACTGGGTCATTTCCTGCCCCCCCCCACTCCCCCTCCCCAATATTCAGAGCCAGCCAACATACTGCCCATCCGTTACATCACTTAATTAAGAAAAACTCTGCCCAAAATGCAGATGATGTTAATTATGGATAGCTTTTTATTTAGCTCAGGATTCCTTCAGGGGCAGTTTCTTAAACAGACTTTTCCCCTCTGATTTCTTTCCTTATTTATATATTTTTGCCACTTCACTACTGTTTAAGAATCCTTTTAGTCGTCTCTTTTGCACCATCTGAAAGATCTAAACCACATTAGTATCATCCGCAAGCTTGTGCGTAAACATTCAACCAGGGTGCTCTTTCCTGCAGTTTCAAAGATATTTTTAGAAGCAAGGATGCAGCTTCACCAAAAAGAACCATTAAAAGGAAGAGATCTGCTTCTCCCTCCCCCCCCCCCCTCATTAATAGGAAGTTGTGCCTTCAAGTCAGTCTTGACTTCTGGCGAGTCACCTGAAGTTTTCTTGACAATTGCTTTTCAGGAGAGTTTTCTTGGTACTTTTATTCCTAGATCTGAGAGGAAGTCACTGCACTGGCTTCATGTCCAACCCAGAGATTTCCACCTTCGTGTCTGAAAGCATTACACCAGCTGTCCTCGACTTACAACACAGTTTTCTTAGGGACTGTTTGAAATCACAATGGCACTGAAGAGAGAGACGTAGGGTCATTTTTCACACTTCTGGCCGTTGCCAGCATCCCCATGGTCGTGTGATCATAATTCAGTCGCTCGGCAACTGACTCATATTTATGACGGTTGCAGTGTCCTGGGGTCACATGATCCCCGTTGACTCTGATAAGCAGAATCAACGGGGGAAGCCAGATTCACTTAACAACTGTGTTACTAATTTAACAACGGCAGTGATTCGCTTAACAACTGTGACAAGAAAAGTCATAAAATGGGCCAGAACTCATTTCACTTAGCAACAGAAATTCTGGGCTCAATTGTGGTTGTAAGAAGAGGATTACCTGTTGGGTTTTTTTTCTTTTCTTTTTTTAGAGGGACAAAGCTTTTATGAGGTTACACACTAAAGTGCTCCCACCCTCCAGAGAGGGAAAAGCAACAGGAAGACAACGGGAAAAAACACAGTGCCCACTTAGTCTAGAGCAGGAGCAGAGGGTGTCAAATTCAAGGTCCACAAGCTGGATCTGGCCCGCAGGGTGCTTGGATCTGGCCCAGGGGTCCACCCCAGAAGGAGTGAAGGACTGGCCCAAGGTGCCTCTGCCAGGGAAAACAGAGATTGGAAGGTTGTGCGCGGGTCGGCCGAGTTCTGTTTTCAGTGGCAGAGGGCTGCAGGAGGTTGTCACAGCCGAAAATGGATGTAGAACGGACCATGCCCCCCTGGCCACGCCCCCCACTGAGGTCAAACACAACCCTGATGCAACCCTCATTGAAATCAATGTGGACACCCCTGGTCTAGAGGACTAGTCCCCAATGGGACAATACTAAAATGCATAAGCTTTTGTGAACTGCATCACGATCACTACCATACAGCAGGAATACCCAACCTCCAGACTGAGGCCCATTACCTGGCTGCGGCTCATTCAAAACCGGTCCATGCAAATGGTGGGTGAGCACACAAGCGCATGTAGCTCCAGTTTTGCGAGCAGCGAGCACACATGAAGCTCCATCCGTGTGAGTGGCAGGCACCCGCAGGCGAAGCTCCATTTGCATGCAATCATCACTCACAAAAATAGAGCTGTGCGCGATCATGTGTACATGCCAGCCACTTGCACATAAACACACACACACCACCCCCGCGGGCCACTAAGCTGGAAAGATTGGGGAACGCTGCCTTACAGCAGACTTTCTGAATGATTGTTTTGGCAATTGAAGGAAGAACTGCTGAACTCACATAAAGCAAATGGCTTCAGCCCATCTCTACACACAAAAAATGGGGGTTTTATACCAGGACAATCATTAAGTGATAAGGTACTTGAAACCCATCATCACTAAGTTGCATCTTCATAATCAACCAGTTTTCCTCTCTTCCTCATCCCAGTTCAAAACCTAAGTGTAGCTATTCCAAGTGAAACTAAAGCAAGTGAGGCCTAATACCACTCCATAAAGCCCTAGTAAGACCACGCCTTGAGTACTGCATTCATTTTTGGTGACCACTCTATAAAAAAGATGTTGTGACTCTAGAAAGAATGCAGAGGAGAAAAACCAGGATGATTAGGGGACTGGAGGATAAAACATGGTATGATAGCAGTGTTCCAATATCTCAGCGGTTGTCAAAAAAGGAGAGGGTCAACCTGTTTTCCAAGGCACCCTGAAGGCCAGACAGGAATAATGGATGGAAAATGAACAAGAAGAGATTCAACCTAGAAATAAGGAGAAACTTTCTGACAGTGAGAACAATCAACCAATGGAACACAAGTTGTTGGACTTGTGATTGGACTGCCAACTGTCAGAAATTGTGTAGGGTCTCCTGCTTTGACTAGATGACCTACAAGGCCCCTTTCCAACTATATTAATCTGTTATTCCAAGTGAAGCTCATGAAAGCTCTTGCCTTTTAATAAAGTTTGGCTTGTCCACAAAGGTGTTTTCAGACTTCTTCTGTCAACTTCAAGCTCTAAGCAATTTTGGGGTCCCTGTAAGTGGGAAAAGCTCAGGCTCCTGGAAATGATGTTGGAGTGGCTGCCTGAGTTTACTTTGGCCAGTCGTGCTAATGAGGATTACTGTGAATACTGTCACCCACCACAATAAACCGCAATCCACAGTTTTCAAGCTATAGTAGTTCAGTTTACACAATATGTTGGGACTGTGAGACTCTTGACTCTTCGTCACGAATTAAGTACCACAGGTAGTCCTCGACTTACGACCACAAAAGATGCAAAATTTCTATTGCCAGGCGAGACAGTGAAGTGAACGTTGCCCCATTTTACGACTTTTCTTGCCGCAGTTGCTAAGTGAATCGCTGCATTTGTTAAGTTAGTAACCCGGCTGTAAAGTGAATTTGGCTTCCCTATTGACTTTGCTTGCCAGAAGTTCACAAAGAGTGACCACACATGACTCCGGGACATTGAAATCGTCATAAATATGAGCCAGTTGCCAAGCATTCAAATTTTGATCACATGACCAAGAAATGCTGCAACGGCCGCGTGAAAAATGGTCCTAAGTCACTTTTTTCAGTGCCGTAGTTAACTTCGGTCATTAAATAAACTATTGTAAGTTGAGAACCTGCTGTATTTTCCCTCGGAATGGCACCTCTGTGAAGAAGACTGTTACATGTACGTATGTATACATGTATGTGCTCTAATTTTCCTACCTCCCTCTTTTATAATGTCTTCCCACAAGGAACCAGCCATTATCAAAACAGAAAAAGGAGCATTACAAACATTACCACTTATGAAAAACAGAATGATCTCTGGAATACCGACTTCTTAGAAAGAGGTCACATCAGGACACCAGAGGAAATGTTGTTATGCCTCCGTTGTAGACTTCCTGGAAATATTTGACTGGTTGTGACAGGTATTAGAATATTGATTATTCACTCTTTGGTTCTTACCACACAATCATATTATGAAAGCAGTGACCCAAAAATATAGCAATGGTTGTTGCTCAGGTTATTTTGCAAGGGGGGGGGGTTCTTATTACATGAGTGTTGTTCTCTTCCTTCAGGGAGTAATTTGATAAGATGGGAAAGGTTTTATAACAAACAAACGTAGGTGTTAGCTAGCGCCTAAAATAAAAGCTGCTCCAACAACAAAGGTACTAAATGAACCTCACTGGCTTTTTAAAACCTTAATCAGCAAGTTTCAGCTTCTGGGCCCTAATAGCAGTAGACTTAGCAGTAGACTTATATACCGCTTCATAGGCCTTTCAGGCCTCTCTAAGCGGTTTAC